CGCTCCACCCCGCCGGGGGCTCTGCGCAGGGTCCCGCGGCCCCCCGGCCCCCGGGAGCGCTCGGTGGAAGCGCTCCGGTGGGCGCCCGGCGGGACAGCCGGGGTCTGCTTGTACCTTCGAGGGAACGGGTAGAGCCCCACGTGCAAGAGGGCCCAATAAATTAACATTAATTAACATGACGGCTGTGGGTGTCTTTGCAATAATCTGGCTTTGATTCACTTGAGCATTGCAAATAATTATTTTTGTTTTCCCGTGTATTAAATCTGGTGTGTAAGCCCACACCAAAGGCGTTATGGTTTCCTTAGTCACACTGCTGTGTACAGTCGTGGAGTGGTTTTAATCGATTTTTGTTTCAGGATCAGGATGGCCGGACATGGAGGGCAGCTGCGGATTATTTTGAAAACGAACTATGCTGATACGGTGGTAGATATTGGGAAAATAGCTTTAGGGGAGGGGTCCAGGAAGAAGACCTCTGACAATAAGAAAAGGGAACAAAAGAAGCTTTCTATAGCAGTGTGTGCATTGCTGAATTCGGGAGGAGGAGTGGTGAGGATGGAGAGCGAAGACAGTGATTACTGCTTTGGGAAGCACAGCCTTGGTCTGGACATAGAGCAGGTCCTCAGGGCGTGCATCGGCTGCACCGAGACCAGCAAATACTTCACGTGGATGCAGCAGCAGAGTCACCTGCTGCTTTTTGTTAAGACGTGGAGCTGTGGAGGTCCAGAGGAGAAAAGCCCAGCCACAAAGCCGCGTATCTGTAGCTTGAGCACTGGGTTGTCCTGTAGGTCTATCACTTCGGTTGTCACCATGACTTCGAGCGAGGCTGCTGAATTTCTGAGGGAAAAGGAAAGCTGTGCCAAGCGCCATGATGAGAACAGGCCAAGGGCTAAGAAAGCTCTGCTAAATTTTGATGGGGGATCAAAGGAGACCCCCCTGAGCATTGAGGAGCGCAACATCCAAGATGCCGCTGCCAGGTTTTTAGAGAGAGACAGACTGATGGTTGGGGAGGTCCTGGATTTCACAGAAACAACACATATTGAATTTAAGAACTTCTCTACAAAGAATATCTTGGAATACATTGGAAGAACCCTTCCAAAATACGTCTCTGCCTTTGCAAATACTCAGGGTGGTTATTTATTTTTTGGAGTGGATGACGAGAGCCATAAAGTTGTTGGAAGCCATAGTGAAGTGGAGAAAGAAGCTTTAGAAAAAACAGTAGCTAAAACCATGGGCTCGATGCTGGTCCATCACTTCTGCGGCTCTCAGGCTGGCGTGCAGTTTAAGACTTACGTCCTGAGCGTCTGTGATGAAGCAGAAGGTCTGCAGGGCTACGTATGCGCTGTGCGAGTTGAACCTTTCTGCTGTGCTGTTTTCCATGACAACCCCGATTCCTGGATGGTGACAAATGACACGATCGAAAGACTGAGCGTCAAGAAATGGGTGGAGTTCATGACAGACGCAGACCCAGGTAAAATCTGCACTTACGTTAGTGCCAATTTCATTTCTGCCTTGGTTTGTAAAGTTTCAGGAGGAAAGACCAACTTCTTTTGCTCTGTGTTCTCACCAAACCTAGAAAAAGGGCTTTAGCCCATGGCACGGTCACAGGCAGTGGGGATGACGGTACTGTAACTGGCCTCCAACGGCAACCTGTTCTGTGAAGCAATACTCTCTGAACTTGTTCAGCAGTGCTTTTTGAAGCACTCCCAACTGGAATAAGCCTTCCTAGGGATCCTGTATGCCCCTAAATGAAGTGGAAAGATTCAAAATCACCTGGGAGCTTCCATTACTCTTAATGAGAACTGGAGAAAACTTTGGAAGCTGGCTTTGTCTGTTAAGATGCTTAGGAGGGAGTGATGTCTTGGTGGAAATCTGGCCCCTTTAGATGCCTAAAAATGTTTTGAAAAACAAAAAGGCCCTTACTGGTGCTGATCCCCATTCAGTGAAGTCCCCAGTACTTGATACACCAGCGAGGATCAGTCTCCATGGCCTGGTTTGATTAGTGTAGATCCAGCATCTTGGCATAAGTCATGTGCCAGCACTGAAGTAAAATAATTGTTTTAGCTGTAATAGTGGTGTCAAACTGACCTGCAACTTTTCTTCTTCCCCTTATCAAGTACTGTTAACATCTGTAATGAAGTCAGCAACATGAGGGTGGCTACTAAAACCTGGCCAGTCATCTCTTCATAGATCAGCTTGAGGTTGAGGGAAGTCCTCTCCAGCCTGCAGCTCAGCATGCAATGCGCACTGTGCAGTGGGGTGCAAACTGCTCCCCTGTTCCCAGTTGTATTTCAGGTGTGGTTGTTTCAAAGGAGCAGGGGTGCAAGGCTTTGCTCAGTTTAAGGCATGTTGTCCCACTCCATTGTGAAATCATTCCCCTTCAAAAGCTACATCCTGCTTTTCATTCCACCGCCCCACAACAAGACCTGTATGGTGGGTCCAACAGAGCTTATTCTGACCATGGATTTGAATAAGAGGCCAACCGTATCCTGGGCTGCATCAAAAGAAGTGTGGCCAGCAGGTCAAAGGAGGCGATTCTGCCCCTCTACTCCACTCTCGTGAGACCCCACCTGGAGTACTGCATCCAGCTCTGGAGTCCCCAACATAAGAAGGACATGGACCTGTTGGAGCGTGTCCAGAGGAGAGCCACGAGGATGATCCGAGGGCTGGAGCCCTTCTCCTGTGAGGAGAGGCTGAGAGAGTTGGGGCTGTTCAGCCTGGAGTAGAGAAGGCTCCGGGGAGATCTTATTGCGGCCTTCCAGTACCTGAAGGGGGCCTACAGGAGAGCTGCGAAAGAACTTTTTACTAGGGCACGTAGTGATAGGATGAGGGGGAATGGCTTTAAACTGGAAGAGGGCAGGTTTAGATTAAACATTAGGAAGAAATTTTTCACTTTGAGGGTGGTAAGGCTTCCATTACTCTTAATGAGAACTGGAGAAAACTTTGGAAGCTGGCTTTGTCTGTTAAGATGCTTAGGAGGGAGTGATGTCTTGGTGGAAATCTGGCCCCTTTAGATGCCTAAAAATGTTTTGAAAAACAAAAAGGCCCTTACTGGTGCTGATCCCCATTCAGTGAAGTCCCCAGTACTTGATACACCAGCGAGGATCAGTCTCCATGGCCTGGTTTGATTAGTGTAGATCCAGCATCTTGGCATAAGTCATGTGCCAGCACTGAAGTAAAATAATTGTTTTAGCTGTAATAGTGGTGTCAAACTGACCTGCAACTTTTCTTCTTCCCCTTATCAAGTACTGTTAACATCTGTAATGAAGTCAGCAACATGAGGGTGGCTACTAAAACCTGGCCAGTCATCTCTTCATAGATCAGCTTGAGGTTGAGGGAAGTCCTCTCCAGCCTGCAGCTCAGCATGCAATGCGCACTGTGCAGTGGGGTGCAAACTGCTCCCCTGTTCCCAGTTGTATTTCAGGTGTGGTTGTTTCAAAGGAGCAGGGGTGCAAGGCTTTGCTCAGTTTAAGGCATGTTGTCCCACTCCATTGTGAAATCATTCCCCTTCAAAAGCTACATCCTGCTTTTCATTCCACCGCCCCACAACAAGACCTGTATGGTGGGTCCAACAGAGCTTATTCTGACCATGGATTTGAATAAGAGGCCAACCGTATCCTGGGCTGCATCAAAAGAAGTGTGGCCAGCAGGCCAAAGGAGGCGATTCGGCCCCTCTACTCCACTCTCGTGAGACCCCACCTGGAGTACTGCGTCCAGCTCTGGAGTCCTCAGCATAAGAAGGACAATGGACCTGTTGAAGCTGGTCCAGAGGAGGGCCACAAAGATGGTCAGAGGGCTGGAGCACCTCTCCTATGAGGAAAGGCTGAGAGAATTGGGGTTGCTCAACCTGCAGAAGAGAAGGCTCTGGGGAGACCTTATTGCTGCTTTTCAGCACTTAAAGGGAGCTTATAAGAAAGATGGGGACAGACTCTAATAGGTGCTATAGCGTTAGGACAAGGGGTAATGGCTTTAAACTGAAAGAGGGTTGATTTAGACTAGATTTAAGGAACCTTTTTTGGGGTTTTTTTTTTTTTGTTTGTTTGTTTGTTTTTGCTTACTGTGAGGGTGGTGAGACACTGGAACAGGTTTCCCAGAGAGGTGGTAGATGCCCCATCCCTGGAAACATCCAAGGCCAGGTTAGATGGGGCTCTGAGCCAGCTGATCTAACTGGATGATCTTCAAGGTCCTTTCCAACCTAAACCATTCTATGATTCTATGAAACTAAGCCTCCTTTCCTATGGGTTCCCTGTAATACAAATTTCCCTCGAGTGTGTGCCCATGGCAGCAATGGTATGAGCAAGGAACATACGAGCTGAAGGAGACCTCCTGTCCTGGCAGAGCCCTGGCCATGCCCGGTGGCTCTGGCCTCATGTGAAACCTCTCCTGTGGCCCTGCGCTGCCCTTAGAGCTGGGATGTCGGGTCTCTGCAAAGGACAGTCACACAACAGACAGAGAGGGTGGTGTTGATAGGAGAGGAACAAAGCAGCGAAGTCTTTTGGAGATGCGCGTCTACTGAAGAGACCAGCGGTGCATGTGGCTGGTTCCTGAAGGGTGCTGGTGTGCTGAACTGGCACATCCGGCGCCTCTTGCCCCATTAGCACAGGGGTCTTAACAGGCTCATCCCACTGAGGGTCCAGATCTTGCCTTTGAACTCTAAAGGCATCTGTGCTATGAGCCCTCTCTCTGCTACAGCAAACCAACATCCTGTTGGTTTGACGGAATACTGCCATTCTTAACTTAGTAGGCAGCACTTCCTCGAGGAGGATTGCGAAGGGAGGTTTTAAGTTAATCATTTTAGTTACTCTTTAGTGCTGGGTTTTAAAAGTTCATACGGAAGGATTTCGATGGATATAACATACTATTTTCTTCCCCCAAGATATTTCAGATCTGGCTGATAAATTTGAGAACGAGCTCAGTTTGTCAAACAGTCCTCCTCTTACCAGGCCAGTTTATTCAAAAGCTGGTCTCCACTGTGTGTCTGAACTCCAAAAATGCCTCTACCCAGGTAAGCTGTTTATTCTGGATATATGTTGTGGTTTTTTTGTTTGTTTTTTTTTTTTAAGATTAATTTAATTTAAGATTTTATTTAATTTCTGTATTTGACAGAACTAATTGGAAGATAATGTGATATAAATACAAGATTTTAGGCACACAACTGTTAGGGTATTTAAAAGATGCAACTGCTCCAAGAATGTTGAATTCCTTGATTTACATGTGTTTCAATCTCTTCTCCCATTCTAATGCACACAATTGCTGAGAATATACCTAGTATCCCAGGGGTTTGAGCACTGTCTGCCCCCTGTTATGCCCAAAAATCTTCTTATGGACAAAGAAGAGAGAGAATCATTTATTTCTAGCATAATTGAATTCTAAGTAGTCTAATCAAGGAATTATTATTAGCCAAGATCTAATTATTACAGATAAAGAAAGAAAAGGACAATAAATTAATACCACTGTGAAAAAAAGTGATAATAATAGTTACCCGGTTCCTGGCATGACGCTCAGCCTTCCACCGCCACTCAGGATCCTGCTGTTGATGGCTCCTGTCTCTTGGGGGTTGTTCGGGTGAGCCATCAGCATCCCTGGTTCTTTCCTGGGGAGTCTGTCGCTGATGCTGAAGGTTTCTTTTTCCTACTCCAGTATCTGTTTGGGGTCACTTGCTGTCGATTTGCTAACACACTTTTACACCTTGTTCTTTCTTCACTGGTCTGCAAGTTCACTTCAGGGTTTAGTAAACACGATGTGTTTCACAGAAGTTAGATACTTGTTCTCCGTTACCCTTAAACCCAGTTTTGTCCAGCTCTGGGGCTGCGTTCCTTTTCTTTATCTGACCATCTGAGAGGTGTTTCTGGCCTTGGGATCTCCTGTGCTCTGTCTCTTGCCACCCCAAGCCTGAATTCAGCCCTGCATCCTCTATCCCACATCTCAAGACCTCTGCTGTCCTACTGTATTTCTGCACTCTGCATCATCATGTTATAGGCAGAAAGGTCTCTGCCTGTGCAGAAGAGCTGCTTGTTGCTACTGTCTGTATAAATTGATAGTTGTTATCCACAGCCACCTGAGTACTAGAAAAAAATGCCATTACAGGAGTAAAAACAAAGCTCCAAACAGGTCAACAAAAATTCAAAGAAAGCAACCGGAGAAGCCTCCAACCTGAGACCTTGCAAAGTCCATATGCTCCCCATGGCTTGGTATGAGCAATGCCGGGTTGCTGGTCAGCAGGGCTGAGCACCGTGTACTTGGGGGTGGGATATCCGATCGGCTTAGATGCGTATCTCACCCAGTAAGTCAATTCTGCCACCCTGCTCACTGCCAAGGGGGAACTTCAGGCTGGGACACACACAAGGGAAAGTAAAGCTCAACCCTTCTTCTGCAGCGGTGGAGAACCTTGCCTTGGTTTTATTTTCTGGTAAAGGCTTTGATTATTTCAGATACACTTCAGCTATAAAAGCAGTGATGGTTGCTGGGCAACAGATGCTCCCACATACCAAGCCCTGAAAGACAAGGGAAGGCCAAGGGCAACATAAATCCTATCACGTTCCTGCAGGGCCGGGCTGGGGCTTTAGGTTAAGCTCTTCGACACATGGGAGAGACACGAATTCCAGGTCCCATCAGTAGCCAAGAGACAATTTCTAATTGAGCGTAATCTATAGGTTATTTTTTTTTCCAAATTCTGACCTGTGTATGTATCTATTAATTGCTATTTTTTCTAAATATTTTTGTAATTTTGCTATATTTTCGCATCTGTTTTCAGGATTACTCTCAGATGATCACTTCACTGTTAATAGTGTTTCAGTACAGGATATGCAATTGCTGTTTCTTGATGAGAATGTGGTTTTTAAATGAAGGGCAGTGACACAGTCAGTGTAACTATGTTTGCATTTGAGCTTTGTCTGTGTGTTATGAATGCGCGTAGCTGTAATTTTAACCTGTCAATTTAAGGGATGATTTGTGTTAATATTTTTTAAAATTACCGTTACTTCTTATTTTGGAGGAGCACCAAGTTAGCATTAGGATGAGAAGTATCTTCATGTATTCCCCTATATTTAATAGGAATATGAATCTATACTTGAAGAGACCGACCATGCTCCTAGGCGCCTTTTCCCTTGCTGTATGCATCGTGTTTTACCAGCCAGGAGTGTAGGAGATGCTGCAAGCGCGCTGCTCCATCTGGTTCAACCACCCATCTCCCTGTGGCAGCAACATATCTGTCCAAGGAATACCTAAATAATGAGAAGGCAAACAGAACAGATCCCTCCAAGGAGACTTTTTCTTGTTCCATTTAGAAGTCAGGCATGCCCAAAGCATCTCTTTTATTCGTATAAAAAAAAACCTTACAGGTTTACCACCAGGTATCATGGGAATGCTGAATTTTTTACTCACACTAAATCATTTACTTTGATGACCTCATGGTGTAATACATTCCTCCCGTAACGGGTGTGTTGAGAAAATTATTTGCTATATTTTGGTTTTCTGATTTTTTATTTCTTTTTTCTAGTGGGTTCTAATGAAATCAAATGGAAGCCAGAAACCATCTGCACTGACGTGTTCTCAGAGTATCCTGGATTAGAGGATTTAATGAAAAAACAAATCCATCCACTTAACAAGGGGGTACTGATATTTTCAAGGAGTTGGGCTGTTGACATTGGATTGCCAAAAAAACAGGATGTTGTGTGTGATGTTCTCTTAGTAGCTGAAAACGCATATCCGGTATTGTATACTGTAGTCAAGGACGCCTCTTCTGCTGAGTATGAAAACTCGAGAGAAACGGCTTACACATTAAAGCAGAAACTAGTCAATGTTGGGGGATATGCCTCAAAAGTGTGTGTGATTCCACAAATACTGCACCTGAATGGCACAAAGAACCAGATGGAAGTTGCAGGGTGTGGCGTTCCCCAGCAAGAAAACCAAGAAAACCCGTGTGGTTATGCCAGCTTGTACCCAGAAAATTACATCCTCACCTCCAGGGACATCCCCGCCTTCCTGCGTGCGCTTGTGATTGTTGTGCTGGGCTTTAAGTCCTACTTAAGTGACCATCTTGGCTGTGAGATTTTCAACCTTCTTACTCTCAAACAGTATGAGCTGCTCTCCAAGAACCTGCACAAAGTCAAGGAGCAGTTTGTCCTTGGTCTTCCTGGAACAGGGAAAACAATCGTGGCTTTGAAGATCATCGAGAGAATAAGAAACATTTTTCAATGTTCTGCAGAAGAGATACTCTACATTTGTGAAAATCAACCCTTGAAGGAGTTTGTGGGGTAAGCAGTAACATGTTTTTCCCCTTTTTTCTTTCATTCCATCCTTTGTACATACAGCACAAGCCCTGCTGATTTTACATGTTTGCCAAATATATAACTTTGGCTGACACAAACACACAATAATAATCTCAAGAAAGGTGTTAATATTGAAAGTATTGCTGAGCTGAGCTCCAGCCCAGATCCAGCATTCGCTGACTGCAGTGAGAATCCCATGCTCAGTGATTGCTGGATCGTGTTAGACCTTCAAAAGACGATGGCCTTAGCTTAACAGGCTTTTATGGCTGGTGCTCACGCCGAATCTACTCTCCTGCCTTTCTCTGTGGCTGCCTCAACACTGCCCATGCTGGGCCTTTAGTGCAGCTGGGCTGGGAACTGGACCTTAGACCTGGGCCATCTGGGCAAGGGGACCAGAAACTAATGCCCTTTTGGTAGAGGATTTCAGGTCAGGGTAGTCCCCAGGTCCTGTTCTCGCTGTGTTTCCGCTTGTGTCCGTGTGGAGAGGTTAGCGGGCCACCAGGTGGACAAGGCATCTTGTGTGACACAGGGCAGTGCCCAAGCGGCAGGTCCTGGCCCCAGCAGGCAGATGGCCTGGCAGAAGCGCTGCCAGTCCCTGCTCAACCTGGGGAGAAAAGGGAACCTGTCCTTCCTGCCAGAGCTCCAGCACCGCGCTGCCTTCCCAGGGCCAGAGAGAGCGGGGACACCCCCGGGGAGCCTTACTGCAGCGCGTCTGTGTAGGAAGCATGGGCTTGAGTCTCCTTCTAGGGTAGAGCCGAAGCCTGTTGGTGGGGGCTGCGCAGGCGGTACGGTGATGCCTGTGCACAGCTAATCCACCGGAATAAATGTTTCTGCCGGGAAAATGATCGAGCTTGCTGCAGCTGAGATGAGAAGTTTGGCGTTTTTAGACAGTAAGCAGCAATGGCCCTCCAAGAAAGAACCCACTGAGAAATGGAGGCAGTCAATAGGGAATTGTCTGCTCATATCTTCTTTTTGTTTACCATATGTATTTTTAATGTATTTTTTGGGTTTCGGTTTGTGGGGTTTTTTTTTTTAGAAATGAGATCTGCTGGTCTGTGACACGTGTGGCCTTCTTAAAGGGGAAATTCCCACAAGTGAAACACATTGTGGTTGATGAAGCTCAGAATTTTCGTCCTGAAGAAGGAAACTGGTACGCACAGGCCTGGGAGTTAGTCAAGAAAAAAGGTGGCATTTTCTGGGTCTTCCTGGATTTCTTCCAGTCTACTCACCCGTTCGGTTGTGGTCTTAACTTTTCAGAACTATATCCTCAGGAATGGTTGACTGAAGTGGTCCGTAATGCCAGGGAAATATGCAACGTCATGTTTGATCTCATGGAGGAAATCCTCCAAGAACGTAACACAGATATGCCCTATAAGATGCTGGAAGACTTGTTTAAAGAGGCTAAATGTGCCCATTCTTTGCAAGGTGACTACATAAAAAAAATAAATATGGGAACATCTGAAATGGTAAAGTATGTGACCACGCAGTGCAGCAGGTACATCCGGCAAGGCTACCCCATCAAAGATATTGCAATCCTGTGCAGTACACAGCATGCAGCCCAGGGCTTCCACCAAATATTGGAATCAGAGCTAAGGAGACAAATAAGCAAGTGTAGGGTGAGGTTAGCCTTGGGGTCAGCAGAGGATGTGTCAGAAAATGTCATTGTTCTTGACAGCATCCGACGCTTCTCAGGCCTAGAAAGGAGGATTGTGTTTGGCATTCACCCTGTCCCTGCACAAGAGGAGATTTCTCTCAATCTTTTGCTCTGCGTGGCATCCAGAGCCAACACCAAGCTCCATTTGCTGTATCACAAAGACAAAATGTTCTTAAGAGACACATATTTAAATGACAGTTTACTCTTACCGAGGGCTAGGGACAGCAGAATGCTTTGCTCATATTTTGTTCAGTGATACGGGGCAGCCTTACAATTTTTTTTTAATGCCCTTTCTGTAGCCTATGCAAAAAAGAAATTATGCAGTTTCATATATATGTTTCATCATGTGTAGGCCTGTAGGATTTCATAAAATTGATTTTAATTAAAGGACATCACCACCTGGAGAGAACAAACTGCTGAAAATGGCAGTTACAGAAGGAAGTCAACGATTACAAACTACTTGGATAAATCATAGAACAGTTTGGAGACTTGTACTTTCAATTCCTCTGCTCTTTAAGCTGATTGCGTGTTCTGAGTTATTTCAGCAGTACCAGAGCGGAACCACAGCTTGGTGTTGGGAGTGGTGGCTACTCTCCACCTCTGCTGGGAACGGGGCTGTGGTTTTCGCATCACATTGAATCATCATAAATGCCATTTTCTGCCCATGGAAGCAGTTCTGTCCCCAGCAGTGCAGTCCCAAACCTCTCCTAAGCAGGCTCGGGTCTGCAGCAGTGTAGTGAGTTGGTAACTTGGGGTTTGGGTTTTTTTGGCAAATGAGTTTTTAGCTTAGGTAAGCTCTACCATGTCCTGCAGCTGCCAGGGTGCAAGTGC